GCACAGGTTTCCCAGAGAGGTGGTGGATGCCCCATCCCTGGAAACATTCCAGGTCAGATTGGACGGGGCTCTGAGCAACCTGATCTAGTTGAAGATGTCCCTGCCCACGGCAGGGACAAGACGACCTTTAGAGGTCCCTTCCAACCCAAACTATTCTATGATTCTAAAGATCTTTCTGCCCCCACACCCCCTTTGCTTGAGTGAAGAGTGATTTACTATTATAAGGCTGGTCAAAAACCTTTGGACAGTACATGCCACTATCTTGGTGGTGGGGATTCTTCTCACTTTTAGAAAAGCCTGTGTTTTTTTTCAATTATTTGGGAAAAATATCCCCACATATCTTCCATGACTCAGTCACTATAGCCTTCCTTCTGACAAGGCAGCACGTCCTCCAAGACTCACCACTAACTGTCATCTGTATTTATTTATTTATTTTAAAGAAGACAGTTTTACTTGATACCTGTTTTTTCTTTTCCACCTCAGCCTGGACCTTCTCTGCCTCAGCCTTCTTTGTCGACTGTTTCATTAGTAAAATATTATGACGCATATCCTGGTCCATATTCTGCATGTAGAAGAGATGCAAGGCCAGGTTTTCAACCTGGGTCTGCATTGCAGAAACTGGGGAGAAGTATGAGAAGTATGAGAGAAGTATGTTTGTAGGATACACTTTAAACAGAGATAAAAGGGAAAGAAATATAGAAGCACCCAAACCAAAACCTGCACACATACCAACTAAATCAGTCCTCCCTGAAATAAAAATTTACATCAGCTTTGGAGTATAGCTCCACAAGCAAAGCTAAAAATCTTGGTAAGATTCCCAGCACACAGAATCCCAGGAAATCAAAGAAGAGGCCTCAGGAGGCAGTGAATGCACTCCTCTGCCCCAAAACAGAACTGTCTCTTTCTCGGTCTGTAGAATGCTTCTCTAAGTTTTTCAATAACCTGCAAAAACTTTCTAGGCAATTTATTTTAATGCTTAGCTATCCTTGCCATTGCAATTGTTTTACTGCTATCCTATCCAAATGCCTGCAACACAAAAAGAATTAGTCAAGCCCATTTCTTCAGCTGGAATGGGCTGCCACATGGATGGTGCTTTCATACTCCTGGATGCCCCTAATGACCTACCACCCAATCTCATCACACCCTTACAGAGACACAGGCAAACATAACCGAGTGATGGGAATTTTCCTCCTGCTAAGTCACAGAACAGCCTACCTGCCAGGAACAGTTTTAGTTTTAGTCCTAAAGACCTTCTTAGAAGTACAACGTAGCAACATGGTCTTAGGAACAATAGAAATTATATGCCAACCAGGAATATCTGTGAAACTTTTCAATGAGTGCATTATTCCTGATTAATTTTACTGTATTTTTCAATCCCATGCTTGACTTATATCCAAATTAATTTCTCCACATAGTGCTAGAATTAGGAAACATTGCAAGGACTGCCTCAGTCACCTTTCTTGCGTTCATCATCTGTGTTCTGACGCATTTTCTTGTAAGTAAGCCTGAGGCCCTCCAGTTCCTCTTCCAAGTGCCGACGTGCTGTGGCCGTCTGAGAACGGTGGTCATGGCTCTTCTCCAGTTCCATCTGCAGATGGGCCAGCTGCTGCTGCGCTCCGTAAAGAATCACCCCAAGCTCTTCTCTCCGTACTTTGCCCTTCTTCGTTGCTGTCCTCTGCCAACACAAGAGGAAATCAGCTATCTCACTTCAGCTTGGACAGGGATGGGCTGCTGCGGGAAGGCAAAGAAAGAATGCCGTGTACCAGTTCCTGAAGCTCTAGGTTCACTTTTTCCATCTGCTTAGTAAGGTAGTTTTTCAGGGCAGCCTGGAATCTTCTCATCAGAGGCTGTGAAGAAGTATGATGTTGACAAACTTTAACATACTTGGGTAAATAAATTATGAAGAAACCTTACTGCTACTCCCATTATTAAATAAAACGTTATATTTTCTGCCATAGTCACTTGCATTCTTATTTTAGCTACACTCACTGTAACAAGTGAGAAGAGTTATATAGCGGGTATTTGTTGACATCAGAAAGTGACTACTGAGAACATTTGAAAGTCAGAAACATATGGGAAGAGCTACATCTGAGAACCCATCCACTCACTCTTGTTGCAAGTACTTGTCTTTCAGGAGTACTGAAGAGTATCAGGTTTGCCCACCATATTGCTCACTTCTGAACCTGCAACTTTGGGGTTGATATTGAGGCAGTAGACACATTCAGGACTCAGTACTTTTGCAAAAGCTATTTTTAAACATGTAGTTTTAGCATACAGCTAGGCCACTGCTTACAATTTACCTTGCGCGTTTTATACAAATAAAAATATCAAGTCTGCAAAGAAGAGTAAGATTTGAGGACTTCTCACATGTTCTGGATCCAAGACAACCAGTTCCGTTTCTTCTATGGTTTCTTTACTTCTTCTGCTTATTTCATGTTCCTCAGCTCCACGCTGCTGGCGTTCCTTTTCCCATCTTTGGTCACCACACTCACTAGTAAGCTGACCAAATTGCTCAAAGGCAGACTCTGAATAGAGAGAAATGGGTTATCCAATGTTAGCTGGACCAACCCCCCCCCCAAAAAAGAAAAAGATGAAGAAAAAGACTTAGATTTCATAGTATTATGCCTCCAGTTGCATTAACAATGAAAAGGAAGAAAGGGAGAAAACTAGAAACTGTGCTTGATAGATGGTATTGAGTATTGTACTGTTAATAAGGAACTGAATAATACCTGACTCTGTGCAGCCGTTCAACTCCACTGACAATGCAGATGCCTGCAGAGGAGCTCCTGAAGACGTGCGGGAAGGGTTTCCTCTGTCTGTTATTGGCTGCTCCATGTCACCCAATTCAGGAGGACAACTGTCTAATTCCACTTTGTCCGAGAAAGTCTCAGGAGATTTTTCCTGGAACATGAAATCCATCACCTGAAACAGCTTTTCAGTCTAACTCTATTTGCCCCTAAAAATCTGCTTATTTCTGTCATCATGAGACATGAACAATGCAGACAAAGAATCAACAAGAGGGCCTTGTTCTAAAATCAGCACGCAGAAATACTGGCAAAGCTGTGTCACTCTGGATTAAAAAAAAATAATAATTTTACACATATATAGCACAACAAAGGAACCTCTCCAGTTTTGTCAGAGTTTTTGTATACTTCGTGCTTGACCAATTAGCTTCTCTCTGTTCCAGTTCTGATTGGTTTTGTGTCTTCAGCAATAAAACTGCAACAGGAGAATTTGCAGTTACAAATACTGGTCATGCATTCTGTGAATAAGATTATATATATTACTATAGTGTCTCACTTCTGCAGAACCAACGAACAGCTCTGTAGCTCCATAGACTCCTCTTTCTGCTGGGGGAAACGTCTCTTCTTGGTCCTCCAGAGGAACAGACTCCTCCTCTTCATTGTCGTCCCCGTTCTCTGCCTCTATTGCCTAGCATACAACACAGGCAAAAAGCAGAATAGCGGCACTATAACGGGTTGTGTACTTTGTTTAATGTTAACGCTACAGCACTGTAACAACTGCCTTTTGCCACAGGGTACAGAAGTTTAATTTAGAAGTTTAATCTCATTCGCAAAAACGGTCACCCAGCTAGCATTAAGATAGGAAAGATCCTGACAAAAATTCTACACACCACTTTTAATTTCACATGTGTTTCTAGCTCACATCTGTTTAAAAAACAACGCCCTTAGGGATTTATTAAAGAAAGTCATCCAGCTTGCACTACATGTAGCAAACTATTCTCTTCTTTCTTTCTAAAGAGACACTGTTTTATTCCATATCATCATTTGCCAAATTATAAGACTGTGCAGTACCAATGGAAGAAAAAAAACTTATCACCAACAAACCTCAAAAAAAAAGAGCCTGAGTATGTGCATCTATGAAATGTGGATAACTTCCTTTTTAAAGTGTCTACAGCAGAAATGTGCTGTCTGAGAACTGAGAAACACCTACTTCAAGATGCTGCTGACACACAGGACAGTAACTAAATTTACTCTCTAGTGGCTTTTTTTAACATGCAGTGCAAGACTGCTCGCTTGTTTTACTTCTTCCTATTGAAACTGCTTCCACGAAGACATCGCTCTATAAGGAACGCATGGGAACATGCTGCCCCGTGAAAGTTTCAAAGGAAATCACCTCCATAGCGAGATGCGATGGAACTCTGATTATATCCCGCTCAGCGGAGCCGAATTCCACCCCAGATCCCTCTGCTGTGGCACCGGGGGCCTCCTCCATGGGGCTGGGGCTGGGGCTGGCCTCTGCCTGCAACCAGAGCGTCCCGCAGGAGACAGAGAGCGAATACCAGCCCAGCGCCCGGCTCCCAGGGCCCGTTACCCCGCCGTCTGCAGGCCGTCCCTCCGCCGCGGGGCTGGGCACAGGCACAACGCGGGACCGGGGAG